TGTGCTGATTTTTTGTTTGTTTTCCTAACTGCACATGCCGTCTTTTTGGAAGCATACATATAAATGACCATGGATCTTTATGTTTCAAAGCTGCTGAAGTAAAGGAGAAAGTGATAGCCACAAGAAACTGGAGTGTTTTTAGTAAAGACCATCTGAGACACTGGGCATGAGAAACACACATCAATAAGTTACATTTAAAGTATTTTGTTATGTCACTTCATCAACTGCACAAACTGAAATTGTGGTTATTTTGTTTTAACAATGACAACCCCACCAAAAACCTAAATATTCAAATACCAGTGATTTTTGTATTAAAACAAAAGCAATAAGTGGAGAACAAAGCACTGGGTAAAGCACACTTATAGAATGAAATCTGTCTTCAATTATGTCCTGCAAGAACCAGCTGTTGTCATGTTGTCACAGAAATGTAGAACTCTACTGCCCTCTTGTGGTTTAGACACATGCAAATAAACTCTCACATGAAAGTGACCAAATGAACCCAAACACACTGATTTTTTTTTTTGATTTTTTTTTTTTTTTTTAAATACTTGCATCTGTAGATTCACTGAATGAACTACTGTGTTAGCCCTATGAGTTCTGGAAGGTTGAAAACAAGATCTACCAGCAGGCACAAAGACATAAGGGAGAAACATCACAAAAAAGCAAAAATGCCATCTCTGGCTGTGTCTGACCCTCATTGTTTATTCTTACCAGTAGATCTGTCAAAACAGAATGAACACACCCAGCCACACTCTAATGCACAAACACACGCGCTTCAATCAAAAACAGCACTGAAAAGACAGAGTTCCCCCCCCCCATCTGCTGAAAAACTGTGGTAAAAAAAACAAACCAAAAAAACAAACAAAGAAAAAAAAGAAAAAGAAAAAAAAAAAAGAAATAAAAGTCCCTTTACCCTTTTTAACTTTTTGCATAAACATGCGAGTAGAATTAGTATAATATATTTTTCTGTTACTTGAAGACTTCACGGAGTGAAGTTTGTTGTCTGCTGGCAATAGGTAGCCACCTAGTGGTTAGACCCTCTCATAACATCAAGTATTGACTGCAGAATTTTTAAATCACAAGTTTGGATGTTTTGTTGCTAGATGACACTTTGTCATTGATAAACAAACAGCTTAAACATAGTTTAGCAGATACCTAACAAACTATCCAGTCTACAGACTCAGCTGGGGGGAGGGGAAGATAAGTGATTATCACACCAGAAACACAGTATTACTCCTAAATCAAACAGTACAATATGTTTTTGTTTTTTTTAACCATATTGCGTGATTTATTTTCAGAATAATAAACCTATATACTCATAGTTACGATACCAGTTCCCTATGAAAAATAATTACCCATAAGTCAGTACCACCATCCCCATTCTAGATGAATGATGACACTGTGTGTTTTTGTCTTTTCAAGACCATCATCCCTTCATTTGACTGGATTCCCTCCACCGGTGGATTGTTTTCACACTTCAGTGGTCCATAAGGGAGCGCTGTAAAGCCTCCTGAATCATTGTGTGCTCATCTGTGGAATAATCCTGGGAGGTCATAAGCATGAGAAGGGGAAGAAAAAAAAAAGTCACTTAAATTCTTATTAACATAAAAAAAGCCAACAACAAATAAACAGAGAGTGCTTTACTTACAACAAATGTATCATAGGAGAAAGTGTGTCTGATCTTCAGGTGCTGGAAAAAGTCAGCACTCCTGTAGTTAGGATCTCCCCAAGGCATCGAGGCACAGATGGGGCACACCTAAAGAAAACATGAAGGTAATAAAACGATCTTTGAAACACATTATTAACCCAGCTGAAGCCAGCAAGTGTGTGGAAACTCCGTATGACTCAGAATTATGACATAATAGGTTGTTGTTTTTTTTACCACTTGGCGTGCATCTCGAGCATGTTGGGTTGTGCAATGTTCAACCAGGCCGTCCTGGTCGAGGTTCTGGCAGTTGCAGTAGGGGCAGGTGAAGGTGTAGCGATTTGGCACCGAACTGTGGCAATGAAACAGAAATAATAAAATGTCACAAGGTTTGGTTCTCAACTACATGAATATTACACTTGAAATGTAACAAGCATCAGCTTATGAAGAAATAAGTGGACATTTACCACAGTTAGTGGCCAATCTTTATCTATTGTCACATCAACTTTGCACCAGCTGAAAGAGCTTGAGAAAGACTTAAAAGTGACAGTTATTCCTTTTTCTTTTTAATAATAGGAATCTGTTTCGTGGCACAAAGGTCTGGAGGGTTAAATAACAAAATAAATAAATACTGGGATCGGTTTCTTACTTTAAACAGTGTTGGCCCACGCAACAATGTGTGGATTCTTTGTTTTAAAGGCTGCTGTTTGGGTGGGAAACCCCCCCCCCCCAAAGGCTACTTCCTGATTAGTCATAATAACCTCATTACAAGCGACGGCTTCTCAAACCATCTTCTCAGAACTTTCTCCAGGAAGCACAGTTGTCATAAATACTTAACATCCATATATGATGAAAACCAGATCCACTTCATACAACTTGACAATAATAGTGTTTTATGTTTTCTAAAGATGAATGTTGTACTGTTTTCTATACACTCTGGAAAAATTACAATCAGAAATTACGACAGGTAAAATACAGAATGCTTAGCATATGCTTGATCATACTTTATAATACTATTTTTTCTTGCAATCAAAATTGTGTTCAATTTGAAATCCTGTTTGTGCTAAAACTTCTATTTACTTTTTTTTTTTTTTTACTTTAAGTGCAAAATGTATACACTACATATAGTAAAACCACAAAAAGAGAGCGTTTCATTTTTGACTGACATGTTAGGCATGCCATTGAAACAAGGCAGTAATAGAGTCACGACTTTGGAGTCTTATCAAACAACAATGTACTGCCAAGAGTTTATAATACTATAAACATAGGGAATTTTATATCACTAGAAGATATTATTCCATCATTTGTCACAATGAACAGGTCAACTGTTTAAATTTGGCACTTAAGTTACAGTGAAATCTATCATAAATCATATCATTGAATATATTTGATTGGGCCAACAGAACTCTATTTCCTATGTACAGTACTTTCTGCTGCGTCAATGAAGCCCTCTCACTGAAACTACTGACAGGGCTGCACTCTTTTCCTTTTTCACTTTGGATTAGTGTTGGTCCAAAGGTGACCTTTAATTTATACAACCCAACAAGCAGCAGTAATTGCACGCAAAGTCTGACTCTACAGTGTAAACTATTTTGCTTTATTATGTAGGGAATAGCAAATAATTGTTCTGCTTCTTTCCCCACCTGACGATGGCAGGCTGACTCTGGGCAGTTGTCCTGACTCCCTCCTCAATGTACTCCTGGTATTTTGAACAGGCAGCTGTGTGGCTTCTCATCTTAGAAAGCCCAACCTAATTGGGGGTGGAGTGACACATATCAGTAACTTCCAGTATATGACCATCATCATAAAATTGTTGCTATTATCTAAATATAAAGACAGAAATTTAGACACAGCAAAACATTAAGATTATGCATGTGCAGTTATTGGATCTTCACCCTCTGTGATTGCTTCATAAATGCGAGTCAGTTCAGTGATATTTTAGCTTTTGGTCTGTAGTGAAACGTACCTGTGTGCCACAACCCTTACAGGCTGCCACAGAAGATTGAATGAGTGCCTCGAGTTGAGCAGCTTTAGTCCAGTGGCCCGGAGCACCTCGACATACAGCACAAACGGGCTTCTGTGGACGCAGACATTCCTGCAAACAACTGTGGCAAAACCTGTCAAGAGATGGGTGAAAGAATGTGATTGCTGCACAAGAGAAATCAACTAAATTGTCAGTTTTAATTTGAGCTCTGGTTACCTTAGGCTTTTAAAAATATAAAAAAAAAAAACCAAAACAAAAACCAAACCAAAAACATGCAACAACTGTTTGCATTAACACAAGGCCTGCCATGAGAAAAAACAAAAAAACAAATACTGTCACTAAAACAAACCTTTATTATGCTAGTGACTGAACCTTCCTGTAACTCATATGGAAAGTCCCCCACCTCGAGAATAGCCAGGGACTTGTAGTTCTTTAAAGTGGTTTCAAGAGTTAGAGCAATACACATCCAAACTACAACTCCCAAGTGAGGCCTCCTTTTTGATGTAAACAAAACTGAAACTGATTTAGCAAGCTGGAACTGTTTTTGTCACATATTCGAGAGAGAAAAACAGAAAAAACGGAGTCGTAGCACGAGAAGACACTCGCGAGGCCGATATTTTGCAACTCTGGTGCGACGACACATTTAAAGTGAAGCCCTTTCCTCCATTGTTTTTGCCTCTTTTCACTGCATCGTTGGTGGCAGACGCGGGTTAGGGGGAGGGCGATCGAAAATAAACGGCAAAAATACTCACGTATGTCCACACTGTGTTGTCACGGGACTGTCGAATATTTCGAGGCAAACTGGACAGACGAATTCGGACACGTCGTTGCTCCCGTCCGAGGCGTTCTTCTTGTGAGGTGCTGCGCTATAGCCTCCGAGCATCGCCATTTCTTTTCTTCACTGAGTCGGTTCCACCACCAGCACCAACCGTCCCCGTGACGACGTCATCGGGTTCTTGTTCTTTTTTAAGCGCGAGGAGGCGGGGTCACCGGCGAAAGTAAACATCGTAACACATAATTGTACGACATACTTACTAAATCTGTGACACTCCCCCTCCCACTAGATTTTGACCCCCCCGAGACATTCAAAATATTACAATATGTAGTTATACAAATAAATCAAAATTATTCAAGCACTAATACAACGAAAAAGCAGGAAATCCACACCACTAAATGCCTACCTTCGGCAAATCATTATGAACCCGGGAAATCTGTCTCTGCGCGCACGCGAGCCTATATATATTTTTTCCCCCAAGCAAAACAAAAACAAAAATGAATGAAGACTGTGGATGATGTAGTTGGGGGTCTGTATCCCGTCTTCCCTAACACGTGGGCTCCTGATGCTGATGAACTGTCAGGATTGAGCGCATGCGTGTTGTTATACTGGGAATTTCCAACAGCTGAGGAGGCGTAGCTAGCCATGACTAGCACTTGTTAAAGGTAAGATTTGCGAATGGTGGTATTTCTGTTTGAAAAAACGTCTTGATCTCCTAGTGGGAGCGCATTAACGTTTGGTCCCAAAAGAAGCTCACCTTAAAAACTCGCTGTGTCTTGATATTTTATTTTAAACTGGCGAATAATGTCTGTGTAGCGATGGAACGCCCTGCTAGCCGAAAGCAATTGTTAGCTAACCAGCTACGCTTAAATGGGCGTTAACTGTTTAGCTTATATTCAGTAGGGGGCCATAGCAGTGGCAGCATCGGGTTTGAGAGTCATGGAGAATTAATGTATACGCTCTAGGAGTATTACTTTATATTGCCATTGGTCACGGTGGACTAAATTTGTTGTAGTAGATACGCAGTTGTAAAGCATGCGTCTGGCTAAGGCTCATTGGTTGCTAGCTCGTTGAGCGGATGTTCGCAGAGATTTTCAGGTAACAGGTATAGCCAGACAGCCAGCTTGCAAGAATCTGAGAGCGAAATGTTTGCTCTCCTGTTGTTCAAGCCTCGTACTATTTTCACGATGTGTTTGTTTATGAGTTTTGAGTTGAAGCTAAGCTAGGGCTAGGGTTAGCGCCACTCTGGTTTACACGCATGTAGTACCAATAGCTGAAACGTTCACTGGCGCAAACGTGTGAGAGGGATGTATACATCAGTAATGAGTTCCTCTCTTGCTTATTTAAGCTATAATTCCACTGGCCATTTTCTTGGTTATGTACATTGTAAAACAAACATAAAAAAAGCCCTTTCACTATGTGACAGACCAAAAACCCACCTACCCACCCACCCAAACGAATCCATCTTCACATCTCTACAGAGATGGTCCTGGATTAGTGTATCTTCCCTCTTATCTGAACCTCTAGATATTTCAAAACATGCTTAACCACACTTAAATTGCATTTTCATTTGGCTAGAACCGAAAATGATATTTTTATCTTAACAGCTATTGCTTGTGTCATTTCAGCTTGGACATGGCTGACAACAACCCCAAGATTATGAATCTGTCGTCTTGATGAGTGACCTTGAACTCTACCAATGCTGAAACCAAGCAATGGAATAGATGCAAGTCTGTGTGCCAAGGAAAACCTCCCCCCTGACGTTATTTTGCATGACAGAAGCCTATTTTTTGGGAAACAAGTCAGGCTTTGAGCCACAACCAGAGATGCTCATACCAAGGCATCCTTATGGGCTACAGCCTTGCTACACCAACTGAAAGCACTAGAAAACTGCACCTCTTGCTTTGAGGATGTGCTACTGAGTGGATGCAAAGACTGACTCCTCTGCCATCTCTCCGCAACATTAACAATTAGTGTATACGGTTTAAAAAAATGGTAACCAAAAATGGTGTCTGAATGTGGCATTTTGTGGTTGGGCATGCTAAAAGGTGTGAGGCTCTCTCAGAAAAGTATAACAGCTGACTAATAGTCTGCTGCTAATAATGGATGCCAAGTTAAAAGAGGACCTGTTCCGGAGGTATGTGACAGCACTGGAGAAGCGTCTGGAGGAAGGAGGGGATAACAGGGGGACTGGAAGTACGCAAGAAGGGGAAAGAAGCAGACACAAGGACAGTGAGGCCTTACTTTCCACAGCCACAGCTCTGCTAGGAGCCTATCAGCCAGATCCGGCACAGCGATTTCGCATGGTGCGTTTCTATGAGGTAGTGGAGAACTCCCTCCGCTCCCAGAGAGGAGTTAACCTGAAGGGCCTGGAGAGAGCCTTCCATACCCTGGAAACCATCTGCACCAACCTCCTGCTCTTCCCTTGGAAGAAGGAATTCAGATGTATAAAGGTGACTTTATTTTATTGATGGGATATTTAATATATTTTGCTTAGATTAGTTTACTCTAATAGCCAAACTTTCACTATTAATACATTTGTTATAACAGAATGAATCATTATTGTCCAGTTTTGAGCTTTGAGATACTGAGCTTTGGCAATTAATCAGGGCAGTGTGTATGTACACTGACATACTTTGGTGAATTTGCATATCTTTCAGACTGTCTTTTGCAGGCAATATATATGAATATCTTTCCTGACCTTTAGTATGGAAGCAAGACTTTTATGTTTGTGTACATATTCTCAGGATATCTGCATAATCTTAAGAGATTTGTGTTGTTGTACCTTAATTACTTGTTGTCTAATCCTAACATCATAAAGTGTGTAAACAAAAGTTTGATCCCACCAGCATATCTGAAAGTACATGAGTGGTTCTCCCCTGTCTCATAAACTGCTTGACATGTTCTTTAGTAAATTAATATCTAAAAGTAAGAACATTTTTCTGAAACTGTTAAAATTTGTATAGATTTGTAATTTTAGTGAACACACATGCAAAGAGGACCTGTTATTATGGTTGCTTCTGCTCAGTTCTGCTCGGTGAATAAGTGACAAATTAAAAGGAAAGCTGTAACTCTTGACCCCTCTGTTTTGCTTTGGGGATTTATGTTGCTGGCATTCTTTGGCTCGTCTTCTTAGAGGGAAAGCACTGCAACTCAATACGAAGTTGTTTGGTGTGAAATATTTCTAACCTAATAGGAGAGGGAAATGTCTTTGCACACAGAGCCGAAACTGTTATGAATTATCTTATGGCGTTCACCCTCACAAGATATCAAGTTAACTGATTGTCTATGGGAAATTTCTGTGCATGTTAGACAGCCTTCTGCCACCCAAAAAGAAAAAAAAAAGTTGTTTCCCCACTTCTGGTGGTTTTCTAAAGCACTTTGTTTTTCCCTTGAATCTATCAGCCAATTCTATCTAGAACTATATCTAAAATAAGTATTTGATATTAGAGAGGTGGCCATTTCAGCTTTACATTGAGGTTGTTGTAATTTGTGCTAATTATGTTTTGTCATAGAAAGATGTGCATTTCTATGTTTTTGTCTTTATTTTTGGCTTCATGTCAGCCTGTTTTAAACAACTGACACTTATGCTGATTCTCATTTCTCTCTTTAAGACCTTCACTGGCCCATATGTGTACCATCTGCAGTCTGCCATTTCTGATGCTGAACTCCGAACTTTAATGCGCACCATTGGCTACACCTGTGACCATGATTCGCAGTTCCATTTGCAGGAGCATCCAGGAGGTGCAAATCATCTGCGGCAGTTGGCATTTGAACTCTTCCTGGCCCAGGCAGAGTGTCGTCTTCTGGGAGAGGTAGTAGCTCTGGCCCGTGGTTCAGCGTCAGAACTGGAGGCCCTGGAGCTCCGCAGAGGTTGCAGAGATGATGCAGCTGGCTGTGCTGAAGCGCTCCGCAGACGTGACAGCCTTGGGGCAGATATGGCTCGGCTGTCCGTGCGGCCATTGGATATAGAAAAGCCTCATGCCCACCACCTCAGGCGAGGTAGCCGACCATCTAAGTCTGTGGATGTTACAGATGGGGCTGGTCACTGGCATGCAGCGGTTAGCAAGCCTGTCTTGAAGGCTTCACTGAGTCTGAGGAAGGAGCCTCTATTTGTGGATGCAGAGGAGGATATGAAGGATGAGATCATCAGGCCCAGCACCTCAATATCTCTTTCCTCTGTGGTTGCTCCACCTTCCTATAGCCCTGTTGCAGATTTCTTCCCAATTCAGTCACCTCCCCCAGCGGATCCCTACACATCCTACCATCCATCCTCTTTAGATGAGATTGACTTGTACACAGAGAGGGGTGGGGCTGGCACAGGAGGAAGGCAGACCCCGTCTCGACCTCTATCCAGAGAGCCTCGAGATGGAAGGGATGGGTGGCTGCACAAAGGTCATGGTAGTGTGAAGTGCCAGGGTTGCGGGCTGGGCTGCACCACAATGGCCTCCTGCCAGAGGTGTGACATGATCCTCTGTTCTGCCTGTCATGATGTGGACCCCTCCCCTTGCTGTGGCCTCCAGGACTACCATCCAAAATCTCCACGACCCCTTGATGGATACATTCCTGTCAAGGAAAAGCTCTCTGTCTACTCTAATACTCATACTCACTCCCATCTCCATCCACACCCCCTCACACTGACCCACTCACATTCTCATCCCCACCCTCACCCTCAGATGGTGGAGAAGCCCCTCATGTCCACTAAGCTGTTTCCCAGCAAGTCTGTTGCCTTGACAACACCAAAGGGAGGCAGCAGTGAGCGAATAAGCATGGGGGGATCGCGATGCGGGTTTTGCAACAAGCCAGGTGCATCACACACCTGTGTGAACTGTTCGAAAGTGTCATGTGACTCGTGCATGGGCTTGTATGCAAAAGATATGTGCACGCGAAAGAATCCTCAGCACAACTTTGTGCCCAACCATCAGCTCAACTTCAAAACTGGCACCATATCTCACCTGGTGTACCGATGAATCAGGCAGACAGAATTTTTTTTTTTTCCCCTTCCACTCCCCTCCTTTAACTTGCAACATAGTCTTGCACGATTGCTTTAGCTTTCTTTCCATTTAAATCATTCATGTTCTTCATCTCAGTCCAGTGCTTTATTTATTTTTTTGGTCTTAGTTTTATTTTTCCTAACCCTCTTTTGTACACTTTGTACATTTTCTCTTACTGTTGTAGGGCCATTGGATGCACATGCCACAGAGAGCCATATCGTCTGCCCATCTCTCTGCCTTGTACAAGTTCAGGCCTTTTATCTATTTCTTCTTCCTTTTACCTTGCTACCTGCTCTTGAGTAGTCATGTGATGTTGTAGCGCTTCCCAAATCCCTCAAATCTTGTCCTCATCAAAAAGGGAAACTGGAGAAAGTTTAATTCCTTCTCATTTTGAATGAATTCTGTCCAAATGAACATAATCTACTTTGCCTAATTTCTCAGCTAAAAAAATCTTCTAATATATATAAATACATATATATATATATATATATATATAAATATACAGTATATATATATGTGTGTGTGTGTGTGTGTGACTGAATGAATGAGTGAACGTGTATGCGT